AGAATTAACATTTTTGGCTTTTAAACCGAATAATTTTTTAAACATACAAACTTTATTAGCGGATTTAACATCAATTGGTTAACATTAAACATATTGAGTGGCTGCAATTGATTACAGCAACAATCTTAAAACGTACCATTTAATGTGTGCTAAACAGAATATGCGTAATAACAATAATGAATAATGATGCTTGGGATATGGAGAGCTGGAGAAATGATTGGCAAACTTTAGGAAAAAAAAAAAATGGCTAATATTTGTGACCACATTTTGACTTTTCCACTATAAGTATCTAAATTGAAAATTCAAACATAACTGTTGGTGTTTTCATGTCGGTAGTTATTTGTTACTTTTGATCTTGTCACATCAACTTTTTTCATGTTTAGTTGGAATAAGTTGGCATCCTCAACCAAATAAATCCAAAGAGCACTAGCAACATTATGTGACCCAAACTTTAGTAAATAAAATTTTGGGTTAAAATTTTTTTGTCATTCGAACTATCATGATTTCGGCGATTTATAATATAAATTTTTTTTTTTGCAAACCAACATCTAAACTACACGTTTGTTTTACTTTGCACTCCAAAATCATATTTAAAGTGGTTTTGTAACAAATAAGCTGATTTACAAGGATATTTTGAGAATTACAAATTTTTAAAATATTGCAAAAGTACCCAAAAGACAAAATCATAATTTATAAACTATTCAAATATAACAAATTAACCCCTCTTCTTTGTCAAATTCTCAACAACTAACCCAATTTTTATTCATTTTCATTTTTTTGAAAACAAATTAAGAAAATTTGTATCCAGCCTGAAACTCGCCGCCTGAAACCCGTTGGTGTCGACTAAGCCTCATCACCACAACAAACCTTCGCCACCGCAGCTCAGCCCTAAAAAATCCCTCAGAAAGCCGACCAAAACCCTAGCCACACTACAACAAAAACTGCATTTAGTGACGTTTATTTTTTTATTTAGTGACATTTATTAGTGTCACAAAAAAATTTACCTACACATGCAAATGTGTCACGAGTTGTGTTGCTAAATTTGATGTCACGAATTTATTTGTGACGCAACCTAGATGCGTAGGTAATCTTTAATACGTGACACTTTTTCAAAAGTGCGTCACTAGTACATAATTTAGTGACATAATATACTATTGTAAGTAATTTTCAATCGGTGACTCTTTTTGAGCACGTCATTATTAATACGAGTTGTGACATATAATTTTAGCGTCGGTAAATTTCAATGCATGACACTTTTTTCTAGCGTCATTAATATGGACTATTGTGACACAAAATTATATTGTAGGTAATTTTCAATACATTACACTTTTTAAGCGTCGTTGTGATTTTTGGTGACACAAATATGGGTGTTAAGAATTATCAAAATGCGACACATTTTTCATGCATCGTTATTATGAAATTGACAACAATATTGTGTCAAATTTGATACACATAATAATTTCCGTCTACATATTAGGGATTCCATAGTGAAACAAAATTTATAATAATAAAACTCGAACAATTATAATATCCACAATAAATATACAAAATGAATAAAATGTTGAAATTCCAATAACATAATAAAAAGAAATAAGAACTTATAGTTTCTATCACAAATTCATAATAAAATGTTGAAACTCGAACAATTCACCGTCTTGCTTTGCTCCATCTTGATATCCCATACCAAAGCTTCTTTTTACCTGAAGAAATAAGAACTTATAGTTTCTATCACAAATTCATATTAATGAGTAATTGGATGGATATAGGCTTTTCTGCTATCTGATGTGATGAAATAATTTCACAAACCTCTTCTTTAGAGGCACATGTTTTCTCTTCCACATTAGCATATACCTACCAAGAAAGACGAGGACTCATCATCAATAGAAGCATGCAAATGAATCATACAATGGCAGGCTATCTCAATGAATTGTTACTTTAGGAAATATTTGTAATGTGCTGCTAATAAAAAAGAGAGAGAGCATTATAATTAGTTAAGTAGTATAACTAGTCAGATCAACAAGCAACTGCAGAACTACATGAAGAATCTGGATACCCTTACATTTGCTTCAGCCTCATTCCAGACAGTGTCTACTTGTTTATACAGCTGCTCGGTAGTCGCTTTGTTATGCACTTCACCATTTCACGATCTAATAGCTCCCAAAAACAAAAATTATTGCAAGAATTAGGGCATAAAAAAGCAACAATTCACCATACTCCACAAAAGTCAGTCCCAAATAATCGTGACAAAATAAACATAAATTGAGAAGCAGAAGTAAGCTTACCACTCTAAGCATCAGTAGAGTGCCAAGTACAGATTTTTCTTTATTTTTTTCTCCCCCATTTTGATATCAAGAGCATATTAATCCACATCATTTTACCTGGGTGTCCATTTATGCTATTATTGTAGGAGCAGTGGTGCCTCAAACAGATTTCTCTTCAAGAATGGATACTGCATATTGCCCAATCAGTCTCTGAAGGTAAAAACAAAGATAAAATCGCACTTTCTCTAATCCAGTGATACAAAGCATAGCAAATCTAATGAACATGACCCATATATAAACGAGAAGCTAATGTTAGATTTAAATAATCGAACATTTCTTCTTCCTATGTCATCCATTAGATACGTTCATGTGAAAGTAAAAAAATGTTAATTTCAACAGAAATTCTATAAACAAGCCAAAATAGTTCTAGTCAACAACGAAGCATAAAGNATCATCAATCTGCATACCCATTTTCTTCACATGTTCATATCAAGTCACAGAAGTCAATCATCCCAATTATTCACAAAGCGATCCCCACTTTTCTAGGTTTTTTTGGGGGCAAATAGACGATGAATAAGATTAAAACGAAGAAGCATCAAGAATCCTATTAATTTCAAAGCAGACAAATGCATCAACACAAGCATACTGACCTGAGCCGGCGTCAGCCACTGATTGTCCCATCTGCTCATCGTAACCGCCCTCGGGTTCTCCATCCCTCTCCAGCACAACGCCGATGAGGGTTCTCAGCCCCACACAGTTCAGCTCTGCCCTCCCGTATCTCTCCGCCGCTATGCCCCTCAAATCCACTGTGTTGGTGTTGAACCCGAACTCATAATTTTCCCCGATCTTCTCCAGGTACTCCACTGTGTTGGTGTTGAACCCGAATAATTCTCCCCGATCTTCTCCAGGTCCTGATCCACGCCGATCCCGACGAACGTGTAGCTAGGGTTCGTGAGGAAGTCGACGAGCGATTTGGGAATATAGGGGGAGTGGATGAGTTGATATATAAGTGTTGTAACTTAATATATTATATTGGAATGGGGATAAAATGTATAAGTGTATATTAAACTTAATATATAAATAGTTTTAAACTTTGAAATTTTACAAATACTGTTAGTATTCCAACATCAATGTAATACATGTGCTAAATACAAAAATTTATACCTGAAATAGTTTTTAAAAAATAAATTTATTTTAATTTTTTAAATATTTCTTAAACGTTGTATTTTTTATAGATCATTATAAAAATATTAATTTGATATGATAATATAAAAAATTATTAATTTTAACATAATTTATAATTTTTTTAACATTAATTTGATATGATAATATTAATTTTAACATAATTTATAATTTAATTTACCAAGTGTTCTATAGTTTTAATGTTCTTAATGAGCAAGAATAAAATTACAAATCTACATGGACTATTTTGAAAACCACAAATTGACATATGAGATTAAGAAAGTCAAAAACTAACACATAAAATTTCACATAAAATGTCATCGTATTAATAAATAAAGTGAAGCTTTTGAAAAAAAAAAAAGGTAATATTTAAATACATTTTCAAAAAGTGTCACCATTTGTATAAAATTGGGGACACTATTTCATAAATTGTCATAAATTAGCAACATTTTTAAATAAATGTCTCAAAATTTTCAAAAAAGTGTCACCATTTGTATAAAATTGGGGACACTATTTCATAAATTGTCATAAATTAGCAACATTTTTAAATAAATGTCTCAAAACTGGTGAAATTGCGACATTTTTTTAAAAGCATCATTATTCCATTACACTTTTTAAAAAAGTGTTGCAATTATTTTATTTTTGTAACATTTTTTAAAAAGCGTCGCAATAACTTTGATTCTAGTTACACTTATTAGAAAAGTCATTATATTTATGTTGCAAGAAGTCCTTTTTCTTGTAGTGCCACCACCCCAATCCGAGCCTCCTCCAGTACAACCCAAAACCGTACGCCGCTGCCGCCGCACTTCAACCCTTAAAAAACCCATCTGGAGGACGACAAAAACTCTAGTCGTCGCCGCTGCACCTCAACCCTAAAAAACCCTCTGGATGCCGACCAAAATCCTAGCCGCCGCCGCCTCAATTCGAGCCCTCCAGCACAACCCAAAACCCTAGCAGCCGCTGCCCCAATCTGAATCCTCTTCCAGCATATCTGCAAGCTGCAGCACTTCGAAGAGACCCCACGCGTCGTGGTCATCACCTCCGACAAAGGCGACAAGAACACCACCACCGGCAACAGCCTCTCCCTCGCGCGCCTCGGCTACTTTGTCGTCACCATTGACGCAGACGTCCTCTGCAACATCGACCTCCTTCTCGGCCTCGACGACGACGGCAGATTCGTTCGGCCAGAAAAATTGTGCACGAGGTCATTCTTGTCGGGCCCGAGCTCGCACTCGAGCCCGAAATTAGAGTCCAAAAGGCACGGGCAGTAGACGGAGATGGGTTGCAGAGTTCTTCACATTTGTTTTCTTCTCTTTTTCTTTTAAATACTCGAAATTCCTAAAATACCCTCAAAAAACCGGTCTCAATGAGGTGAAATCGGGTTTAAACCTAGTATAGTGAGCAATTTGACAAACTCGTATAGTTCATATGGTGGTTTGTAAAAAAGTTTATATGGTAAAGCGCCAAAATCGTGATAGTTTGGATGGTAAAATTAAAATTTTTACCCCAAAAATTTTATATTAATCTATATACTCCCTCATTTTTTTTAATAAATGTCGTTTTGAGAAGTTGCACATTAATTAAGAATATTTTTTTTTACTTAATAATCCTTATTAATGAGGATAGAGATTGATGTTTTGAGAAAAGATGAAGAGTAAATATGAAAAGACGTAGTGTATTTATTAGCTAGATAAGGGTAATAATGAAAAAATATGTACAAAAGATCTAAAACGATTTATTTAGTTAATTGTTGATAAAACCAAAATGACAATTGACATTTATAAAAAAAAAGAGGTAGTATAATACAGTCTTTAAATTAAGACTCCTTGCAAGTATATACGCGATGTATTTGTGTATTAAAAAGAAATAAGACAAATATATGTATATTTACACCATTTATAGACATTTCATTTTCCTTTTTAATCATAATGCAATTAATGAAAATGGCACGAATGATAAATCATGTTGTCGTGTCATATTTGTATTTTACTGTCTTATTTTTGGAATTATCTATTTGATTTATTTTAAATAATATAATAAGTCGAAATTTTACTAAATTTTCATTCCGTATTGTTTGAGTCTTGTCTCATTCGTCTCATCTATGATCGCAATCAAGTTTTTTAATTGCGGTTTTTCTATGAAGCCATATAGAGCCAACTGTTGACTTTATAACAAAATCGAATTAATTGTATCGTGCCCTTTTTTTTATTTATTTTGTGACGTGTCAGTCATTACTAATATCGGTCATATCCTTAACACTGCAAATTTGCTAAAATAAAATGGATTATATGAATATATGTAAATTGCAGTCTCTAAATCGAATCCTTAGGAAAAATCTATATATACATTAATATTGTGGTTAAAATAAAAAGAAAAAACTTTTAATAAAATGAATTATTCCTAGTATTGTGGTTATAAAAGCCATATCATTTCATTATGTCTTGTCAAATATGTAACACGTTGACAGGTGCTGGTGCCCAATCAGAATGGCCTTCTGCGACAGCCCTTTCTACCATTCAGGCACGGGCTTGGACCAATAAGATTGGGCTCATGGCCTGCCACCATAATGACCAATTATATTGGGCTTTTGGCCTGCTACTATACGTCCGTAGTGTATTCATGTATATTTTGTCTGTTAGTGTTCCACCAATTATTTATTAATAAAGTATAGTATAATTCATTCTTTTTTCATTATTAATCGGCTGCTCGAGGAGACCCTTTTCCTACTCATGATTTTCATTAGGTATCATCAATTCACTAGGCAAAACGTTGTTAGGAGCTAATGCTTTGTGCGTAATGTATTTCAAGTTCATTATTGAATTACAAAATTAAATATTGTATGGAATAAGATTTTTCATTTATTCTATGGAGTTGGTGGACGACACAACTTATTAGTTATCTCTATAACATTCATAGATGATATATTAACATGTAAATAAGGATAAATACACTTGGTACAAGAGTAAATATATCAATTCATGTATGAAATTATTGTAAGTTAGCTTGTGTTAGCAAGAAAATATATAATTGACAATTCTTAAGAAAATGAAATGATTAAGTGGATTGATATATGGAGTGGCATTTTTTGAGAATGTACGATATATAGAATATAGTGCTAGAATTATTCATCATTTTATATCTAATGATATAAGCCATCCAAATACTTTTGAGTTTTGAGACCTCATTCACAAATGACTGTTGTTAAATAGATCTAACATATAAATAATTATATTTAAAAAAAGTAGATATATATATTTCAAATTGAAATATCATACTCTAGACAATATAAACAAAACTATAATATTTCACCGAATATGCATTATTTTTTTTTTTTTACCCACCTAACATGTAGATAGTCTAACACAATAATTTATGATTCACGCAAATAGATAGTGAAATTACAACTAGAATCTAATTAATAAATTCCAATCAACCCCAAATGAAGTTAAACCCCAAAACATAAAATGAACATTCAAAGGTACCACACATCAAATAAAATCATAATCCAATCTATCCTGCAAACCACAAGAAGAGAGTGACAAAATGGTGCTACTCATTCATTTCCATTATAGATGTTTGGCAATTGAATTATGGAAAAAGAATATATTTTTTTTATTTGAAAATAAACAAAAGGGAAAAAAAGTAGAAAGAAAGACGAGGAGTCACTGCAGCATACCCTTGCACATATACAGCTTAGAATCTTGCTTTTTCAAGATTTGTGAAAAGCAGAGCAGTAATTAGTATTTACTAGTATTATACATATCACAAGAAAAAAAAAAAAAGAATAAAAAAAAAAAATACTCATTGATTTTTCTTCTATTGCAGTTTTGGTTAGCCAAACAAATAGTACCATCACAGCACACAACCAGCAAAGTTTTCATTTTCTTATGTTTCGTGTATTTATTTGTTTGTTTTGATTGTGCAGTGTCTCTTAATGTTGCCTCCATAATAGGTACTTTTCGCGGGGCCCCGCTCGGAATGTGTGCCGCTTCTCATTTTTATGCCCGCCAAGAGACACAAAATCAACTATTCAAATCCAATGTTGTGAGTTTCTGCTCGTTTAATAAATGAATCGGTTGGGCTCGGTTTGCTTAATAAATGTGTCGACTCGTGTTCGTGCTCGTTTAATAAACATTAAACCTTATACGAGCATATTTGTTTTTGTCAGACAACTTAATCGTCAGACGGTTCAATCTATCATATCATTTGAACATAAACGAATTAAATGTCATACTTTTATGTATGTTGTTTTTTTAAAGTATGACATTTGCTTGTCAAAATATGCGTATTTGTGTAAAGAAGTGTGTCGGTCTAATGGTCAGGTCGATCTAAAACAAGACCAACCGATACATGAGTTGTTCGATCGCGAACATGAAATGTTCATTCGCAAAAAAGTTCGACTCGACTGTAATATTTAAAAACCCATTATAGAAAAACAAATTATTCGCAAGAAAGCTCAATTCGTCAATCACTTGTTCGAGCTCGACTAGTTTAAGTAAACGAATGAGTCAAACTTAAACTTTCATGAGCTAAACTAAGTAGTGTTGGTTAACTCGGTTTGTTTTATGGTTCTACACTTCTACTCATAAATAATCAATAATTATCAATGAGTTTAATTAAGTAATAGGATTCCAAATAGTTTGATTGCATTTTTGCTAAGTACAATTGAAAATATTAAATTCAGGATCAAATTTGACGAACAGTAAAAAATGAGTGACACCGCTATGACTGCTCCGACGATCGTTGAGAAATCGGCTGACCCTAGGGTTGACCCGCCGGACCCATTTCCGACACTCCACGCAGCAAATCCTCTTGGAATTTCAGGAACTCGATATTCGAAGAAACGATGCTCGGACCCACAGGGGGACTACCCGCTGTCCAAGGAAATTACTGATAGCGCGGAGAAGCCCAACCCGCCTCCTGCACCGTCCACATCCCCGCCACAACTAAGTTTCAGGGACACTCTGAACAAGAACCGACTTCACGTTGTTTTGGACGCTGCGGACAAGGATGACAACCCAAATGATGACGTGTTTGTGGATTTTACAAACCCTATTCCGGACATCAAGATGAAGGATTCGTTTTATGAGAGTTGTGTTCAATCATTTAGCAACGTAATTGTGGTCAAATTGATGGGCCTACGAATGCGTATGGAGACGCTCCACAAAAAGTTGCTGGCAATTTGGCCATTTGCACAGGGATACCCGATCCTTGATGCCGAGAACGGGTATTTTATGCTCCAGCTTCGCACTCAGGACGACGTTTTATTGGCTCTTGTTGGTGGCCCGTGGGTGGTTAACAAGCACTATCTCCATGTCCAACAATGGACTGAAGACTTCGATGTGGCCTCCAATCAAATTACTTCCACGGTTGCGTGGATCCATCTGTCGGGCCTACCGGTACATCTCTACCACAATAAAATCTTTCGTACCATTGGGTTGATTGTGGGTAAAGTGCTCAAGATTGACCACCAGACAGCTACCCAGACACGAGGGAAGTTCGTGCGACTGGCTGTGCAACTAGATTTATCCAGTCCTCTCCGCACTCAGTTCACCATTCGCGGAAAGCCTCAAATAATTGAATATGAGATGCTCCCGGATATCTGCTACTCGTGTTGTCGGTGCGGCCATCTAGCAGCTATTTGCCCTAACCGACAGGAGGAGACATGACGGGATGACAACTCGGGCGTTGCTGGAGGGGCCGCCCGCTCAACAACAACTACAGAGCTCGAGATGTCCCGGCAGGAGCAGCCGCTAGCGAGCCACAATTTGGGCCGTGGATGCAAGCAAAAATGGGTACCAGGCCCCAAACGTGGAACAAAAAGGGAGAACCCAGCACTCATCAAAAGAACAAACGGTTTGGAGGGGAAGTCTCAGGCTCAAGATTTGCTTCATTAGCAGATGACGAGGGAGCTGAATTGACCACCAATCACGTAGCTCCCATAACTGACCATGCATTTTCTAGTCGTACTAAGGGAAAAGGTGTGTTTGAGGCACCGGTGACAAGCTTTCAAGCAGGTCGAGAGGGTGAGACTCGGACGACGAAACATGGGGAATCATCTTCAACGGGAAATGGCGGATGGCAGATGGTCCGGAACAGAAATGGCAAGAAAGGGCGAGGAGGTAGTAACATTGTAGTGACCCGTAAGGGTAAAGGAGATGTGTCAACCACCGTGCAGACTGTGAAGCCGACCACCTGCTGGTGCACAAACCAACCACGATGGACCATTAGTATCCCAGCAGACAATCGTCATCCCATTAACTTCAGGGCTGGACCCATCTAAACATCATGCGGTCCAGGTCGTGGATAACCCCACAACCCCTATCCCGGATGACCCAATCAACAACTTGACCCAGGGGATGACATGCCAACCGAGGCGTCGAATCTCCACTGTTCGGGCCCTACACCACCGGGTCAGCCGGAGGATATTGACTATGATGACCATATGTCGGATGAAGAAGCCTCAGCTTCTCAAGTCCCGAGTTCGCTCTGACAGATGTCACCCTTCTCTCGACAAGTTTTAAATGCATATTATTTCATGGAATGTACAAGGGGCAGCTTCGACGGCATTTTTTCGAAACTTCTCAACGATACGAACTCAATATAGCCCGGATGTTTTTGCTATGTTGGAACCATGCATTAGTGGCAGTAAGGCTGACGCCTTCATTAAAATGAGTGGATTTGCCCGATCGTATCGTGTTGAGGCGACTGGCTTCTCGGGTGGAATCTGGATTTTGTGGAGAGAGAGGGTGCATCTAACTATTCTTGCATGCCATCGTCAGTTTATCCATGCAAGGGTCTCCTCGGATGGCATTGACTTTCTTATCACATTCGTTTATGCTAGCCCAAGTACTAGAAGCCGCCGGGCGTTGTGGCCTGCACTCGCCACTGTGGCGGTTGACATCCACGAACCCTGGCTCATTGGCGGTGACTTTAATTGCATCACAAGTCAAAGCGAACGCCCGGGCAGAGCCCGTCAGAGGTGTACCGTTAACTCAGACTTCGCCTCGTGGATATTTAATAACAGGCTGGAGGAGTTACGAACAGATGGTTTATTATACACGTGGGAGCAGGGTGACTTAAAGCAGAAACTTGATCGATTTCTAGATAACTCTGCATGGTCCAGCTGCTTCAGGGAGAGCTTTGTTCGACATTTACCGCGCAACAACTTTGACCACTTTCCCCTTCTTGTCCGGATTCCTGCCAGCCGCGGCTCTGTCCAAACTCATAAGCCTTTCAAATTTCTGGCGTCTTGGCTTCTTCATGAAGGGTTTTCTGATGTGGTAAAGAAGACTTGGACGGGAGAGACCTATGTGGAGGTGATCAAACGCTTTCAGACCCAAACAAGACATTGGAATACCCATGTGTTTGGTAACATTTTCCAACGGAAAAAACGACTTCTTGGCCGCATTGCAGGGGTCCAACGAGAACTGCAAAAGTACACCACTCCCCGACTACTATCAGTGGACACCGCTTGGCGAAAGGAATTGGATGAGGTCTCCTTGCAAGAAGAGATATTAATGCTCCAGAAATCGCAACGGGATTGGACTTTATTTGGGGATCGAAACACGGCGTATTATCATAACGTCGTTAAAAAACGCCGCTACCACAATCGAATATCTTTTCTGCAAGATGAACTGGAGCTATCGTGGAGGATCTGGATGATCTACGTAATATGGCTCTTCAATTTTTCTGAAGCATCTATATGCATTCCGAGCCGCTTCAGTCGGGCCCGGGAATGGCTAGCTTATTCCCTAGCCTTGACCATAACCTATTTGTGGGCATGGACAGCGACGCGAGTGATTCGGAAATTTTTTTGGCCCTTGATGAAATGAAGCCATTGAAAGCGCCTGGACTTTACGGTATCCATGCGATGTTTTTCCAGCGTAAAGGGGACACAGTTGGCCCGGTGGTTTGTGATATGATCCGGAGCTTTCTACGGGGTGGGTGCTTGTCATCTGAGCTTAATAAAACCGTGCTTGTCCTCATCCCAAAGATCGCAAATCCAGAGTCCATCAAGCACTTTCGGCCGATCAGTCTCCTTAACGTGGCATATAAGCTCATTACGAAGATTTTGGTGAATCGCATGAAACCAATCCTCCCGCTGCTTATTGGTCAGACTCAATCGAGCTTTGTGTCGGGCCGCCACATTACTGATAACATCATTGTGGATAAGACTGGGCGTAAGGGCTTAATGGTTATCAAGGTTGATCTAGAGAAAGCGTATGATTTCCTTCGTTGGGATTTCGTGGAGGAGTCGCTTCGTGCAGCCGATTTTCCTATTCATTTCACTAGGAATGTAATGGCTTGTCTTTGAGCGTCGGCTATGCAAATAAACTTTAATGGGACGGCCACTGATGAATTCTTCCCTACTCGTGGGGTTCGGCAAGGGGATCCGATCTCGCCTTATTTGTTCGTGATATGCATCGAACGATTGGCTCATTTAATTAATGAACTTGTTGATAACGGTAAGTGGCGCCCGGTTACTGTCGGTAGCGAGGAAGTCCGTATTCCGCTCCTCATGTTCGCCGACGACTTGCTGTTGTTTCTTGAAGCCGCTGATGATCAGGCTCATTTGGTTTCTTCAGAGTACTCGGATTTTTGCTCCATGTCTGGCCTTAAGATTAGTCGTGCCAAAACAGACGTCTTCTTCTCAAAGAATGTCCCACTGGCAGAGCAACAAGCCCTCGCTAGTTGCATGAGATTTTCGGTTGTCACCAATCTCGAGAAATACCTCGGTGTACTTGTCTTGCATGGTCGGGCTACAAACCAAACTTATGAAAATATTCTTGACAAGGCGGATGTGCGGCTAGCTTGTTGGAAAGCCAACTCATTGTCTCTAGCCGGTCGATTGGTTCTTACACAGTCTGTGGTTAGTTCGTTGTCGTTTTACACTATGCAAACAGCATGGCTACCTAACGCGACTTGCGATGGGCTGGAAAAGCGTTGTCGTCAATTCTTATGGGGAGGCACTAACTCAAATAGGAAAGTTCATCTTGTTTCTTGGGGCACGGTTTGTCAACCTAAAGAACTCGGTGGCCTTGGACTTAAACGACAACGGGAGATGAACACTGCACTACTAATGAAGTTGGGCTGGGCTATTTTGACCAAGCCCCAGGCCTTGTGGGTTCGGTTACTTACAGCCAAATATATGTTGGTCTCCGCCTTGATGGACGCAAATTTTGAGTTCCCCAAAGGGTCGTCTATTCTCCGTGCCGTCAGCAAGGTGTGGCCGTTTGTGGTGCGTGGGGTGTGGTGGTCTATCGGCGATGGCAAGACTACTCGATTTTGGCGAGATATTTGGACCCACAACCCGCGCCCACTCATTTGCGATGCACTAGGCCCGGTTCCAGAACACCAACTCGAGTGGATGGTGTGTGACTATGTAGATGACGCTGGTCATTGAAAATGGGATCTCATTAGCCACCTCGTGCCGGCTGGCTCTTTGCTCCGTATTGCTGCAAGTCTGCCACCGACGAGGTTGGCCGGGCCGGATACAATTTATTGGGGTTTTTCAGAGAATGGACTCTTCACCACCAAATCTGCATACTTGTCGCTTTTTCCTTTCACCCCGACGAGGGGTCGAGCTTGGTGGAGAGTTATCTGGAAATGGATTGGACCACAGAGGGTTTGACAATTTCTTTGGCTTGCTGTTCAAGAAAAGTTGTTAACGAATGTGGAAAGGCACCGGCGACACATTACGGATTCACCCTTGTGTTCGTTATGTGAACGATATAAAGAATCGACCTTACATTGCCTTCGTGATTGTGTGGGCGCCAAGCAAATTTGGATGAACCTGATCCCTGCTAAACACTACTCTGTGTTTTTTTCTATGCCATTACAAGAGTGGATAATTCAGAACCTGCAAAATGGGCTACCTATTGGAGTCATTGATTGGGAAGCGACCTTTGGTGTCACGGTGTGGCAAATATGGAGGGGACGAAATGATAAAATTTTCTCCAACAAGGAGTTCATCATTACTAATAAAATTCAGGAAGTTCGCTCCTTTGTTCATGGAATCCACCTTACCAAATCCTTTGAGAACCACCTGGGCGGCTTCGGTGCGGACCGAGGAGTCCATTTCATTCGATGGAATGCTCCTGAGATTGGAACTGTCAAAATCAATACGGATGGCTCACTTTTGACTTCGAGTGGGATGGCATCTGCTGGGGGCTTGGCTCGTGATGCCGATGGACGATGGCTTGGGGGGTTTGTGATGAATATTGGGTATTGCTCCATCACTGAAGCAGAGTTATGGGACCTTTTTCACGGGATTTTGTTAGCCTGGGAGTTGGGCTACCGTAAAGTCTTGGTGGAAGCTGATAATACGAGTGTGGTGAATATGGCGACGGGGAGTTCGATAGACAATCTAGGCATTCATGGCAGCCTGGTTCGGGCAATAAGGGAGCTTCTTGGTCGAGACTGGGGGGTTAGTGTAAACCATTGTTATAGAGAAGTCAACTTTGCAACTGACTGTTTGGCGACTCTAGCTCACAATTGTCCGAGCGGTTATCAACGGCTCCTAGATCCATCGTCAGCAGTTAAACCGTGGTTACAGCATGACTTTGTTGGCATTGTATACCCGCAGTATATAATTGTCTAACAATTTTAAGCTTTTGCCTCCTTCTTTT